TGGTTTATCGGTTAAATCAAAAGATATGAATTAAAATAAAATAAAACAAAATAGGTCAAAAGTGTAGAACAAATAAATCTCTGAGCATGCACTTTATAAAACTCATTAAGGGGGACAAATGTTATGCTAATCCGCTAAACTTAATATATCAAACCTCGAGACATAAACTCTAAGAGAAAGGAGGAAGAAACTGATAACATTTGTAAAGCTGGGGGTTTATATGTAGTTAGGTGGAACTTTTATCCGCTGTAAGTAGCGTAGGCGTTTGTTTTGTAGTAACTTTTATTTACTGTAATTAAATGAAATGATACTTATCCAAAGAAATGAACTGTGAAGACATAAATATAAAAAATGGAACTGATGTGTACCTAATCCACTACAAATTGCTTTTCCAGTCAAACTTAATTCAGCAAGAAAAAGAATCCCTTGTCCTTTGAAATATAATAATCTTTTGAAATTTATTATTTGTGAAGTTGGTGGCTTACTTTGAATTTCTTTTCATCGTTTTCGTTTTTATCCTATTCATTTTTTTCATCTAAAGTGATGACATACTTAACAAGAAAACTATGTGATATATTTTAGTATGTCACCTAGCAAAAATAATTCAAAAAATTGTAAAAATAAGTATAGGAGACAACCTTGAATTTTTAAAAATAATGGCCGATGAGTGGTGATTTCATAAATAAATTTGAAAGGATGCTTTATTTAAGAAAATACTCATATTTGAGGGACTAACTATATATTAAGTCATTGCTTTTACTTGAGTTGGATGCACCAAAAGAAGATGCCACTTTGACTAACCAAACAATATCAGCTAAAATTATGGGCCCGGATCATCACTTTTCCCAAAGTCTCTCACAAAACGTTGAATTTTTGACTTGTCTTCAATCATTCTGTATATTATAGGAGAGCTTTACTCTTCCCCTTCATAGTTTCCTTCTTCAGAATCAAGGCCTCACCCTCTTCTTGTATTAAGCAGACCATCAGCTCTGCAACTATCTTCTTCTTCTTCGAAAGTGTTCTGCAACTACCTCTGGTACGTTATTTGTGCTTAACTACTTGTTCTTGAATTAGGTCTCTCTCTTCTAGTTGTTTCCCTTTGTATGAATCGTTTCTTTATGTTATTTGTTCCCTTTTTAAAGCTTTGATTTTTGTGATCTTGTTTGTTTAAGTATCTGAAAGTTTGAATCTTCAAAGGTTTTAGTCCTGGGATCACCATAAAAAGTTGTTCCTTTAATGCATAGATAGCTTATTTCTCATGTTATCAAATTCCAGGATCTTTTGAGCCTTTTGGTTTAGCTTTATTGAGTGGAATAGATAGATTTTTTTCCATGTTTGATGTTCTTTTTTTTGGGGGGTTTGCAGGATTGAGTTTGTTTTAGATGGCTATGGAGCCGAAATTCACTGAATTTTCTGATTATATAAACGGCTTTAGTGTTGAGGATTTAGATGATACATTTCAACTTAGTTCTGGTCAGAACACGAATGGAACAATCGGATTCGAGTTCATTGACCCTACTCCGAATCTTAACTTTGTGAATATGAATATGAATGTTCCTGTTGCGCTTTCTGAACCTGGCTCTGGTACTCTTCTTCAACCTGTTTCTGTAAGTACGGATGGGAACTCGATTTCTACATCACAGGCTGGAGTCTGGAAGGGGAGTCTTTGTCGCCATCAGATGAGAGTGACTCGACGGATCCAGTTCTCAAGTACATAACTCAGATGCTCATGGAAGAGAACTTGGAGGAGCCTCATATGTTTAATGACTATTTGGCTCTTAAAGATACCGAGAAATCGTTATATGAAGTCCTTGTTGAGCAATATCCTCAAACTATCCAACCACAAGTTTTGCTCAATCTGGATTTGGGGAGTTCTGATAGTAATCTTTCCGGTACTACTAAAGGCCATTCGAGTACTACTATTATTGGCACCAGTAATGGAACCGGTAGTTATGTTGATCATCAGGGAGTTGGTGAGGTTCGAGAGCCGGCGCCTTCCTTGTTACAAGCTCCTCTTAATGGTGACTACAATTTCCAACCCACTTTGCAACAGCCGAGTTTACAGTTTCCTGTCAATTCAACTACTAGCTTGAGTAACACAGGTAATGGGACGATGGAATCTTCTGTGAGAGAGCTTCTAGCTCAGAATGTCTTCAATGATAAGGAATCTGTTTTGCAGTTCCAAAGAGGGTTCGAGGAAGCTAGTAAATTCCTCCCGAGTAGTAATCAGTTGATTATTGATCTAGAAAGCAGTACATTTCGTATGGGGCAAAAGGGGAAGGCTTCAAGTGCTGTTGTCAAGGGGGGTAAGGAAGAGCAGGAGAACTCACACGAGGGATTGAGGGGTAGGAAAAATCATGTACGGGATATCGAGGATTCGGAAGAAGAGAGGAGTAACAAGCAATCAGCAACATATACGGAAGAGAGTGAATTGTCGGATATGTTTGATAAGGTGTTACTCTATCCTGAAGGACAACCTATCTGTTGCTTTGGTGATGAAAGTGTGCAGCACAGAGAAACCAAAGCCTTGCAGCAGAAAGAACAGTCGAATGGAATAGGTGTTGAAAAAACTCGGTCTAGAAAACAAGGGAAGAAGGAAACAGTGGATTTAAGGACTCTTCTAATTCTCTGTGCACAGGCTATATCCGCTGATGATCATAGAACTGCCGGCGAACTACTGAAGCAGATTAAAGACAACTCTACTCCTCTCGGTGATGGAATGCAGAGGCTGGCTCATGTCTTTGCGAATGGCCTCGAGGCACGCTTGGATGGTAGCGGAACCGTAATTCAAAACTTTTATGCGTCTCTAGCTTCCAAGAAGAGAACAGCTGCTGATATGCTGAAGTCTTACAAAGGATACCTTAGTGCTTGTCCGTTTAAGAAGCTACCAATTATGTATGGAAATAAAATGATTTACCACATGGCTGGGAACGCAAGTGCCCTTCATATTGTAGATTTCGGTATCCTGTATGGCTTCCAGTGGCCTATTCTTATCCAACATCTCTCAAAGAGACCTGGTGGGCCTCCTAAGCTACGCATAACCGGAATAGAGCTTCCCCAACGTGGTTTCCGCCCAGCAGAAAGGATTGAAGCAACAGGTCGTCGCTTAGCAAATTATTGCAAGCGCTTTAATGTTCCATTTGAGTACAAGGCGATAGCAGTTCAAAACTGGGAAAATATTCGAGTAGAGGATATCAAGATTAATAGCAATGAGTTTCTTGCTGTAAATTCCCTTTTTCGGTTCGAGAATCTGCTTGATGAGACTTCTGAAGTGGACTGTCCAAGGAATGCCGTGCTAAAGTTGATCTGGAAAATGAACCCTGATATTTTCGTTCACTCCATAATTAATGGATCTTACAACTCTCCCTACTTTGTTACAAGATTCAAGGAGGCTCTATTCCATCTTTCTTCCGTATTCGATATGTTTGATAACACGTTACCTCGTGATGAGCATGCAAGGTTGATGTTCGAAAGTGAGTTTTACGGGCAGGAAGCAGTGAATGTTATAGCATGCGAGGGCCCTGCGAGGGTGCAGAGGCCAGAGACGTACAAGCAATGGCAGATTCGGATGATGAGATCAGGGTTCAACCCACTTCCATTGAACCAGGAACTAATGAAGTTACTTCGGAATAAACTGAAGGCTTGGTACCACAAAGATTTTGTAATTGATGAACACAATCACTGGATGTTGCAGGGATGGAAGGGCAGGATTCTTTATGCAACCTCCTGTTGGATACCTGCACAGAAGTCCTGATCAGAATTTGGGCCGGAACTGAGAACATGACTAAGATATTTAATTTTCGAGGAACAATGAGCATCGATAGACTTCAAAATACAAAGGTAGCCCTTTCTCACAAGATTAAATTTTCTGCCTTGCTTTCTCTTGATATGCATGTGCACATAATAGGCATACTTGCATATATACAGGCTTGTTTGCCTTCTGGATTATAGGTTGGAAGACTTAATGCAGCGTATTAGTTTTCAGTTGTTTAATTAATTAGCTGACTTTGCTTCTTTCGTTTTTGCCCGGATTACAGACAGCGATGCGCGCTTCCTTTCCAAAGAATCTTAAGGAGTTGGAGGATTCCAGTTACATTCTCTATTTTCTAGATATTTCCTGTACATTAAGTGATAGCAAGTGATCGAATGATGGGGCAAATTATCTATGATCCTGCTCTTTTACCCCCCCTTAGACTACATATTTTCCTGCTAGCTTTCATGTTGTGATGTTTTGTTGTTTGTAAATTATGTACGAGTTTGATGTACTGCATATTTGTTCAATATTAGTACTAGATTATGAAACTCATTTTTTGTGGAAAGTGGAAGCTTTTATAAGTATTCAAGACACGTAAAAATCCGTATAACGGGAAATGTTAAGCATCCCAAAATTTATATATAAATACTCATCTGCAGTTCATGCAACAATATGTTTATATAGTATACGGTTAAAAGCTCTAAGTTGACATTTTTCTTCTTCCTTAGATTAGATTGTGGATTCAATATTCATTAAGAGTAAAATTCCGTTTTTACTCTCATTTGACAAGTCGTCTCATGAGGGAGTGGAGAAAATTGACAACATGAGGGAGTGGAGAAAATTGACAACTTTTCCAATCTTGTTCCTTAGACTTGGATTTTGTCACACAATTTAATCCTGATTGGAGTGAAAGCTTAGGGAAAGGAAAAACTTGTTAAGTTTCAGGACTAATTTGGATAAAACAAGGTTCCAGGATTAAGTTGGGAAAAATTACCAAGTTCAAGGACGGACAGGGATAAAAAAATTTAGGGAATAAGTAAAAAAGTTAACAAGTACAGGGACTAAATATTCTTTTATACCAAAAAGTTGGGTTTATATTTGATTTTGGGCCTTGAAACAAGACCCAATGGATGACTCTCGCACTTGGGAAAACTTCTTTATATTTTCTTGTTGGATAAAAATATAGTATTTAATTAAAACCCTGGCACCGTGGGACTAAAACCTCGTCTCTTTTCTTTGCCATAGCCGCCTCATTCCTTTCAATCTCTTTTAAACATCGAATTTTCGTATATTCTCTCTCGAAGCTCTGTCAATGGCGAAGAACAAAAGAGAACGAAACCAAAATCCACAGCCATTTTTGGCTGATGACGATTCCGTCGCCTCCAGAAGGAAACACTCCAAAGCTCTCAAACACCACCAGAAGCAAGACAAAGTATAATTTAGCTTCCCGCCTTAAATTTTTCTTTTGATTTTTTTTTAAATTCCGCGTGTGTGTGCCAGATGATTTCGTCGGGGATGAGCTCGAAAATCTTGAAAGAAGCACTGCTTCAACAAAAGGAAATAGAAGAGGAAGCGTCAGGAGGGAACACTGAGACCGCGTTTCGTTCGGTTGAAGAAGAGAATAACAAACATGAAGAAGAAGAGGATATTGACGATTTTGGGGGATTTTCTGAGACACAAAGTCAATTTGGCAACTATGACGTAACTACATTTTATTTAATTAAACTTTTCATCATTAATTTCCGAACTGATTGTCTTTACTTGTATGCTCTTTTAGTCCTTAGACTCTATTTTCTGTTACCGTTTCCTTTTGATTCCAAATATGAACAATTAAAATTTTAATTTTTATGTAGAAAATGTCGGGTTTTTGTTACAATGCCAAATATGATTTTTTTCTTTTTAGCAAATTTGAGATATGTAAGCAAATAGCTGAAAGCAAGTCTCAGAAGTAACAAGCAAATGAAATTTCTTAGTATTTTTTATTTGCTGTTTGCAGACTATTGCAATTGTTCTTGTTAATCAAAACACTCTACTTTTATTTTATGTTATAGGAACAAATTGATGAGGATGACGAGAAATTGCTTGAGGCATTCTTATCAAAGGATGCTGGTCCACAGAGAACACTTGCAGACGTTATAATTCAAAAGATCAAGGAGAATGATGAAAAAGTTGCTTCAGGTAACATATTAAATTGATTATATTTGGTTATTTAATATATTGTGAAAGGATTTTGCCTCATGAAAAATGAGGTATGATGGTTCAATTTGTTAAATTGCAGAAACACGTCCTATGCCTAAGTTGGATGACTCTCTCATAGATTTGTATAAGGGGTAATATTCCTCCCCTTTTGTTTGTAAGATTTTTTTCTTATAAAAGAAATTGCAGAACCCCTAAAATGTGGATATGAACTAAATGTGCAGAGTTGGCAAGTTTCTGAACAAATACACAGCAGGGAAAATGCCCAAAGCCTTTAAACACATTCCTTCAATGCAACTCTGGGAGGATGTTTTGTACTTGACTCAGCCTGAGAATTGGTCTCCAAATGCTATGTTTCAAGCCACAAGAATATTTGCTTCCAATTTGGGTGCTAAGAAGGCAGAACGTTTTTATAGACTAGTTTTGCTTCCTCGCGTGAGAGATGATATTAGGAAAAATAAGCGACTTCATTTTGCTCTCTATCAGTCTTTGAAGAAGGCTCTATACAAACCTGCTGCATTTAACAAGGGAATATTGTTTCCATTATGTAAGGTATACAACTTTCTGCCTACCAAAATGAATCTTTGGCTTCTATTTTTACTTTTCTACCTGACCAAATCAAGGTATCCTTATCTTCATTATGCATTCCCTTTTTGCTATTACTGCTGTCAGCTTGTAGCCTCAAGTTGTCTCTTTCAGATTGATATTACAGCATCATGATTTTTCACGATTTCTCTCATTTTTTGTTTGTTTGCAAAAGGATAACATAAATTCTGGGCTATTGGCTGTGTTAGAGATTATAGTTGGATTGTATGATTGGCTGTTTTCTGTTATTTTAACATTAAAGTTCTCCTTTTTTCCCCATGATCTTTTTCAGTCGGGGACATGCAATCTCAGGGAGGCAGTTATCGTTGGGAGTGTTCTTGAAAAAGTCTCCATTCCTATGCTTCATTCAAGGTATTTTACTCATGGTTTAGTTATGTCAAACTTATTATCATAGTTTTTACTGTTGTTGCTGGATGTTGCATTGAAAGTAGATTTATTTATGCCAAAATAAGAAACACAATAAGATGTGTGGATGGGAGTTTGCCAGTGAGGATCTTCCTGTTGGCTTTGGTAAAATTTGTGGGCACCCTGTAGCTCTTTGTTGAAACTGAAATAATATCCTATTCTGTAGGAATCATTTAAAATTAGCACTTGTTGTAGATATTTTTTCTCTTCTTTAGAAGAAATCTGATGAAGAAAGATGCAAGGGTGGCTGGATTTATTAATCTTAAAAGCAAGTTAATTGCTTATATAATATTTCATGTTTGGCTTGAACAAAAAAAAAAGAATGAGGCCTTTGGTCAATAAATAAAATTCAAATTCAACAACAAATTAACTGGTTGATATGAATTTCAGATTCTTTTTTTATCGAAATCTGTTAATATATTCATATTTTAAAATATATTATTTCAAAAAACAAAATACCCTTTTCTTTTGAACAAGCCAAAAAGAATAAAAATGGAATTATACAATTGTAGTTAGAGCGATTCATGCATAATAGAATTATGATTTTATTCAATTAGGAACGTTTTTTAAAATATATATACATATTCCTGTTGGGTCAAGATGATCATGAAATTGATGTTCTGGACGTGGTGGGTTTATTCCATTTTCACTCTTAAGGCTGCTGGATTTTCATTTTAATTGTTCACGATATGATGATAATGGAAACGTCTAATTTGTAAATGGAATTGCAGTGTTGCATTAATGAAGCTTGCAGAAATGGAATACTGTGGCACAACAAGGTATTATAATGTTGACATTTCTTCTTTCTTGTGCCCCTCTCTAGCTATCTCTCTTTCTTATATACACAAACAATGTAACAGGCGTACATGCTCTTGTTGAAGCAAAAAATGTATATGGTAGTAGAAAGAACCTCTTAAGATGTTTATCTGGATCTCTTGTTGATATGAAGGAACGATTTTTTTTATTGCTTTTTCTTACAAACCGTGTAATGTTTATCTTTAAATTGTTGCAGTTATTTTATCAAGCTACTTTTGGAGAAGAAATATGCTCTGCCATACCGTGTTGTTGATGCTGTTGTTGCTCATTTTATGAGATTTCTTGAAGATACAAGGATAATGCCTGTAATATGGCATCAGTCACTTCTGGCTTTTGTGCAACGGTCAGTAAACTTGTTGGAGATATCATTTTCCTCTTGAGCATATCACTTCAGAGTTCATTTTTATGGATCAAATTTTAATTATGAGTTTGAGATAAGATCACAATTTTTTTCTAAGGAAATATATTGTCCAGCATCAATGAATTATTCTTACTTTTGCTTCTCTGATTGACAAAAATTAATGGAAGGAAATGGATGAGAGAAAATAGTGCTAGTAATGGAGATACACTGTCCCCCTTTCCTTTTCACAGCTATAATAACACTGCTGGTCAGTGGCTATGCTATACTTGTCAGCCATATTGTTGAATAGTTGTTCTATTTGAAAAACACTTCAAGTTTCTTGATCTTCCTTTTCTGTTATTAAATGATCTTTTGGACGTTTCTTGAAGGGGGCCTCTGTTCATTTAAGAAAGTGAGGAGACATTTTATATTGTCTTTTCGTCATGGAGGAACATTGAGGTATAGTGAAAATTGAAGGTCAAGATATCGTTTCAGTCATCATTTTCTTTGATGGTTGCTCTGTCCACATTTTCTTTTCTCTTTTAGGTTATATTTGTAGCTAAAGATTTCTGGTTTGAACTTAGTAAAATGTGGGAAAAAATAAATTGGGAGGGTGCAGGTGATGCATATTTCCTTCTGTGCTTTGATCTGATGAATTTAGCCTAAAATTGTGAAGGGATATTTCATGATTTAGAAGTTATTCAAATTCTAGTCTTCTGAAGGAACATTTAGTACATCCTTAATATTTCACAAGCTCGTACCACATATTCTCCTGGTATTAAACTTTTTTATGTCAATACTTGCAGGTACAAAAATGAACTGCGCAAGGAAGATAAAGATAACCTCAGGATTCTACTTGAGACACAAAAGCATAAATTAGTAAGACATCTCTGCATTTCTTTCTCACTCTCAATGGACACACATTCACATGGGTACTGATAATAGATACTTTTAATTTCTTGATATAGGTTACTCCTGAAATTATGAGGGAGCTAGATAACAGCCGCAATCGAGGCGAGGTGGATGATCCTATGGTATTAGATATCCTCTCTTTTTTTCCAAGTGCATGTTATTTTTCTCTGAATATAAGAAGAGACAACTTATAAATTTTGTTCATTTATTGTGGTAATGGTGCTTGTTTATAATTATTTATTTGCTCTGAGTTTTTCAGAAGATGTCACACAGAGTAATGTGTTCAAGGAATAACTAGTACATAAATGTATGGAATATATCTTGTACTGCTATAGAAAGCAAGGTATTAAAAACTAGGATGCAAGTTTTACCGTTTCTGAAGGGAAGAATATTAAGAATTAACATGCATTAATCTTAAAGCAAGAATTAACTTTAAGGTGGAAAATTGAATGGCTCTTGATTTTAATGTTTTCTGCTAAAGAAAAAGCAGACTTGTATCAATTTTATAAACTGGGTTTAGCATATATCTTCGTTTTCTGGTTCAATGAAGTTGCCTATATCTGTATGCTATCTTATTTACACCTGCATGAGTTCAAGTGTCATATGGGTACATTTCAATATAATATTCGGTATCGTTAAATACATAGTGTAATGCAAGGTTTTGGCTGTGGAAGATGAGTGATATATTATATTGTATTTCTCTGTTTTTCTCTTATAGGTTTGTTTGTGTAGGTTTTGTTTTTTGTTTCCTTGACTTAATATTACCATCATCCGTTCATGTGATCAATAAAACTATCGAGGAAGACAGGTTTGATATTCCTGAGGTACCTATGGAGGAGGATTAATCTGCTGATCCGATTAATGCCTTGGTATGAATAGACTCCTGCTGCTGCAATTTATATATTTAGTTTTCTTTAAATGCAGTCAAAAGCTGTTGTAATTGTTATTTAATCGTTTTGTGCGAGTCTGTTAGCTTAGTTCTTATATAATATGAGGAGCAACAACAAAGCACATTTTTTACTGTTGAACAAAAGTTGAAAATTTAGTTGGATTTGATCGATGATGCAGGTTTTGAGTTACTACCTGCTTGGCATTGTTTTTAGCCTCTAAAGTAGGTTTGGAATGCCATGTTTGAGATTGGGTTGGGTGTATTTATTTAATTTTTTAAAAAGGTTTTGATGATCATATTCACGAGTGTCTTGAACTTTTAAAAGATAATATGTTTTTTTAACTTGTCGTTAGGGTTGCACATAATTCGGATTTCAATCCGATCCGGATCGGTTTTTATCCGATCCGGTTTTTCCCCATAGAAAAAAAACCGGTTTATAAAATAACCGGTTCGGTTTTTAACCGGTTTGGAGGGCCGGATATCCTAACTGGTGTAACCGGTTTCGGTTTTAAAAAAACCGGTTTTTCTAAAAAACCGGTTATAAAAAAACCGATTTTAATATTCCAGATTGCTCATAGGGAACCGATTCCCCCCAAGGGGGTACCGATTCCTCACTGAATGGTTTGGCTCCGAGATTTCCGGAATGCTCGGAGGGAACCGATTCCCCCATAGGGGTACCGATTCTCCCCTATTCAACGGTCGAAATATTTGAATTTTATACTTAGGGAACCGATTCCCTATGAGATGAAACCGATTCCCTATGAGAGGGTACCGATTCCCTCATGCTCCAAGCATTTTTATTAAATGTTTTCACACTTAAACGGCTATATTATCTTCATTAATTATCACTAACGTTCAGAAGTGATTCAAGGTGTATTTAAGCAAGCTTAGAAGCCATTGATCAAAGACAAGAAACATCAAGCAACTATAATCAAGAGAGAATCAAAGAGAAAGCATCAAACCTCAAGTTCGATAAATTCAAATACTTAATTGAAATACTTAATTAACTCAACATAATTGAAATACTTAAATACTTCCAAGTTTGATGAATTCAAATACTTAAAAACTTCAAAGTTCGATAAATTCAAATACTTAAAAACTTCAAGTTCGATAATTGAAACAAAGTTTACGATAATTGAAATAAAGTTATAAAATAAACTATATTGCTATCTCTTCTTCATCATCTTCGCCTTCTTCGTTTGGAGGGGATATTCCAAGTTCGACTTCTTCAATGTGTAAGTTTGCTTCCAAATCGGAATCAATTGCATCTTCTAGGGTGGTGATATGTTGCTTACGAGCCGCTCCATCCAAATAATCCTTTAAACAAATGCATACTTTCACCGACTCGGGACTTAGTCTTGATCTCCGTTGTGATATAACCCTGCCACTAATAGAAAAAGCGGATTCCGAAGCTACCGTAGAAGCTTGGACGGTTAGTAAATCACGGGCCATGGCGGCTAGAATCGGAAATTGTGCTTCCTTTTCTTTCCACCAAGCCAAAATATCCAAACTTTCAAACTCTTCAAATGTCATTTTTGATAGAAAATCGCATGACATGTAATTTCCCAACTCGCTACTTGGGGTGGTAGTACGTGATCGTTTGGATTGAGAATTTACAAGAGTGTTAAAAAGATTCAAATTTATGTTACTTGGACGTCTACTAGATGATTCCGCATTCATTCTCATTTGATCGTGTATTACACTACTTGATCCGTATTTAGTTAAATAAATTGCAAACATGTCTCGAAAACATTTATTAAAATAATTTATTTGGTTTTGGACAAAGTTGGGTTCATCATCGGTTAGATTAAAAGCAAACGCAATTTGTTCAATTAGTGTTTCAACCCCACCAACATTTAACGTTGGGTTTAAAGCGGCGGCACAAGTAAAAATGGGGGAATCTCCTTAAAATATTTTAAAAGTTTTTCCTTCATTGCAAAGTCAATTTCTTGAAAAACTTCGGTTTCAAATTCAAAGTCATTTAGTCGGGTAGCCAACAAAAATATTTGATTAAGAACCAACGGGCTAGTAGGGTAATAAACATCGGATAAAAAAGTTGTTGCATTTTTAAAAACCTCAAGCAAATCGGTTATTTTGGCTATAGTTTCCCAACTCGAATCCGGATAAATGTTTGGGACATGACCCCTCTCGAAAAGCCGATCGTAAAATGTTTGCAATGTTTCCCTTTGCCTTAAGGCAGTATGCATCATCATCCAAGTTGAGTTCCAACGAGTTGGACAATCCAAATTAGGACCCAAAGTTTTTTATTAACAGACTTACAAAATCGTTTTAATCATTTAGTCTTTTGTTGTTGTTACAAAGAATCGATTTTATCATTGTTTTAAATTCTAATCTAATTGGCTCAATAACCTCCAAACCGGTTTGCACGGATAAATTAATTATGTGTGCAACGCAACGGGTATGAAAAAACGCACCGTCTAAAATCGGTGAAAGTAATATTTTCAATCTTGGAACCGCGTTTGTATTATTCGATGCATTATCAAAGGATATAGAAAAAACTTTATTTTCTAATTTATAAAGACAAATTACCCGTTTTAAAAGTGTAAATAAATTAGCACCGGTATGCGGCTCACCGAATAATTCAAACGCGATTGTTCTTTTCATCATTTGCCAATTATCTTGATCTAACCAATGTGACGTAACGGCTAAAAAAGAATTTCCGGTATTATGAGGGGAACTCCAAACGTCACATGTAAGCGACACACCATAACGGTATTCTTGGAATCCTAAAATCATTTTTTTCCTCGCCGTACGCCACATTTTTATAGCATCTCTTCTAAGGGTAGTACGACTTACTTGAGTATAACGTGGTTGCATTAGTTGTTAAATTGTTGTCGTGAAATCTTCATCATCAAAGTGGTCGAACGGCAATGCTTTTGTAATCACGAACTTTGTAAACGCTTCTCGTAATTTTTCGTTGTCGTAAACAAAAATACCACCTTGCGGTGTAAGATTCGATTGACTAGGATCCGATCTTGAGCGAAGTGCCTTGCATGATTTTGTCAAATGGTTCTTCAACGTTGTGTTTCCTTCCGATGCAAGAAACTTTAGACAAAGTTTACAACGCGCCCTCCTCGAGCCATTTGACATCTCACATAAATCGTAGTGATCCCAAATATCTTTGTTTCGAGTGTGTTCGATCACTCTCACGACTTCAAGGTTTCCCCCGACGGAAGATTCAGCAGTGTTACTCATGATGAACAAAAAATTACAAAACTAAGATTTGAGAGATGTTTAAGTGTTGTGTAATAAGATTTGAGAAAGTTGTAATCAACCAAATACATCCCCAACCTATTTATACATGTTTAGAGTGGTAAAATGGTAATTTTTTAAAGAAAAAAACGGTCAAAAACGGTCACAAACGGCTATATTAACGGCTAGTTTTTTAAACCCAGACCGGTTTTTTTTTCGGATAAAAACTGGTTTTTAACCGGGTTTTTTCAAACCGGTTTTTTATCCGGTAAAAAAACCGGTCTGGGTTTTTTTTATCCAAACCGGTTAAAATAACCGGTTTAAAAAAATCCGATCCGGTTAAAAAAAACCGATTTTTCCCAAATCCGGTTTCGAATATTTTTTTCGCAAAATCGGATATTCGGATTTTTTGTGCACCCCTACTTGTCGTTGACATTTGGTTTCTTTCTAGACATGTTACCTGCTGTTTATTTAAGGAAGGAGGAAATGTGGAATTAAAATCAAATGGCTTTCCAGTAAAAAAAAAAAAACCGAGCCTGAAATCCTTTTTTATTCCTTGTTTCGGATGCAAATTCCCACAAGTCAATAGTTTTAATTATCATTTAGTTTTCACAATTCAACCGACTTCGAACACAACATAAAATACTAAGCACATCACAACCCGATCACTCATTTCTTTCTTGCGTTACAAGGAATATAAAATACAGCAACAAAACAAAAAACGAGGGTTAACCGCTATATATATTGTCATTTATGATTTAAAAGATTAAATGTAAGGTTTGGGATTGAAATAGATAAGATTGTAAAGTCTAAACTTGGTAGAGTGTGTACCAAATAATTTTCAAATTGTTAGATAAATATAAAATTAAAAGTCAAATTATTCAAATAAACAATGTTAGCTGAACTGTATCATAACAAATCTCATCATACATGTTATTAAATAATTCTATAGTTAAGAAAATATGACAACATTCGTACGGTATCTTCCAATTACGTGTTGAAAAGTTCAAGATCTAATAAAATAAGATGAGATACCAAAATTTAAGTACTACCATGGGTTGAAATTTTGACCTTCGAACAGCCACTTTAATGATGTTATAAAATGGGATAGATGCTATTGCTTTTCCACAACAAAGGAAGAAAGGTAAACAATTAAAACTTTGTTAGCCCTCCAAAAAAATGAAGGCGTTTCTCATAGTTTTCGTTCTCTTGCTTTCTACTCTTGTTATTTTCACTGCTCCAACTTCAGCTCGAGGACTTGTTGTACAAAGGCCAACTTCTTCACTAATTCTTTCTTACGTAATTTCCGTTTTTTTCCATATAACATATACGTCAATCCATGACTCTGTAGGGATGGACTGAGAGATACTAGAGTGAGGTTATACCCCTTAGAAATTTCAAATTCTTATATAGGAATTTTATAATTTCACATCCTTAAATTTCTAATATAAATTTTTAATAAAATTCTGAGTATGTGTATTCCATTTTAAAACTTGTAATAATAAATAAATTGTTGGGGGGGTTGAACTGTTTCTCAAGACTAGATGAACATCAATATTTTTTTGTACAAACACATGAGGGTCATATTTTATATTTATAATTGAAAGTTGTACCTTTTAAGTTTGAATAGGCTAATACAGATTCAATAGAGAAAACAACATTCTATATTATTATTGAGACCACTTAATGGATCCTATTTTATCAAATAATTAAATCATTAACGTAAACTGTCATTCTCTTTACCTTATCACAGTCTTCATTGAAAGTTACATCATATGTCCTCAAA